TTAATAACAAATTTTCCGTATGTGCACAATGCAATTAATATTTAAAATAATATATTCATTGTAATTTAATGTTTGGTTATTTATATATTTTTGTTAGCCCAAAGTTATTAATATTTTAATTCTTCTTAATAACATGTTTTGGAAATTAAATAATTTTACCTAGGTAGAAAATACAAATATTTAACATAAAAGATACAATTCATTCATATTTGCAAAGCATCGCATGCTAACGACAAATCATGCGTGCATTTAAACGATGTTTACGCTCCATTTCTCAAAATAAATGAAATTTTGCATGCCGACCAAATCCGACTGTATATGCAAAAACGCGAGCGTGTTTGAAGAAATATCAAAATTCGTCAACACATTTCTTAAAATTTCTCATTTCACAAAGTAGGAGAAAAGTAGGAGAAAAAATTCTCATGTGAGAGCGATTTTTTAGTATATTTGTTGTTTTATCTGGGGCGTGTTTAAAAAATTGTTGAAAAATTGTTTGTGTAATGGCAAGCGCGCGTTGACAACGGGCGATGCTGTCTACGGGGCCCTTTAGTCTACTTGGTCAAATACGTTCAATTTTTATTAGAAAATAAAAATTAAGCAAAGATAACTAATTTTACATTCATTTTTTTAGTTAAATATTTCGACCTTAATGTGAAGACATAAAACTAACAATTATATTTAAAAAAATCTAAGCTAAGGTTTGGCGTACGATATATAAAAATCAGGATCTTTCGTCCAACAGGTAACGATGATGAAGAGGACGCTAACAAGTTGCTCGATGATATGAAGCTTCAGAAACTTCAAAAGCCTGCTGGAATGCTGAAAGTAGCACAAATCAACCTGCAGCATTCGAAAGTCGCTTTAGATTATCTCGTCATCTTTCTAGTTGAGGAAGATGCCGACATTAGCATCGTGCAAGAGCCATGGGTCAGAGGTAAGGACGTCATGGGGCTAATGCTGAAGAACTATAATAACCTGTGTATTAGGAACAATGGTAAGTCAAGATCATGTATCCTAGTTATAAATGCATTAAAGCATTTCTATGTCCACAGTATAGTGATAACGATCTGACAGCCGTGAGGATCGAAACACCAGGTGGACCAAATTTAATTGTGGCTTCTACCTACATGGCGGATGACAGAGATGCTCCTATCAGAAGATAATCAAAAGATATTCCCACGTTAATTAGATGCGGCGCCAATGCATGGGTGAATACGTTTTTGATTTTATTAACACTTCCAATCTACTAATTTGTAATAGAGATAAAACTTCTATTTTTACTTTACGTGTCTCACGACTGATCACTTCCTGTAAGCACCATAACTTGTGAAGACATATATAGCGATTATGATACTACCAAAGAATCTAGAGTACAAAGAAGCCCCACGTTCATACAAACGAAATACCCACTTTATTTTGCTGGTGGATTTATAATAAATTCACCCAACCACATGCAACAATGTTCGGTCAAGTCACAACTGAAATGATGCTCAGTTCAAACGTATATGTGAGTCGAGTAAGGCTGACAAAATCACGACTGAATATGTGTTTAATCATACATGCAACCCGCTGTATTACATTATACGCATGTTTGTTCGCTATAAAATGTTCAAGCGATCAAACAGCATTTCAGTGACGAAATCAAAATTGTGTACATTTGATAAGTTTTTGAATTAAATAGTATAAAACAAAAACAAAATTACCTGTTTGATATTGTTATGAATTGTAGTGTAAAAACACAATACGAATTTATTTATGTCTCAAATCTGATTTCTTCCATTCTATGAAGCTTTATTTTTAAATGTTTCCGAAGCAATATCGTAATCACTAATTTTAACATTTTAATCCGGTGTAAATAGCATTCATGCGTTTCGTCAAACCAGGAAGCATCAATAGTGGTTTTAGTAACTTCTAAACATTTTTTCATCACAATTTTTCTTACACATTTCTAATATTTTTATTTTCTTTAAAAATCTTTTAAAACACTTTTATATGTACCATATCTTGCAAATGTTAAAAAAATGAAATTGTTAGTGCACACAAGTTTCCAAAAACGCTGTTAAGGTTATAATTGTTGGTGTGTATAAACATCTCTGATGGATAAAACAAAATTTCATTAGATTTGAATGTAACCAATAAAATATCAACTAGAAGTCACTTATATAGGAATTCTATCTGAATAGAATGAGTCTGCTTCTGAATCGAATACGCTTTATTGTCTCCACAAACCTCCTCCGGAGTTAATACAACGTGTTCGCTAAAAGGAATTTCGGTATGTACTCCATGCAAACTGCGAATATTTTCTAGCATTGAGCAGATATCTACTTCCGACATCACATCTTCATCTTCTAAGCAATTTTATTGCGAGTTCAACTGATACAATTTTAAAGACAATAGCTTTGCCACAATTATATTAAACTTGTACACCGACGGATTTTTGTTATATGCCCACCTTTGAAGCGGCTAGTCAAAATAACGGAAATGTTTGTATTTTCTTTAAACAAGTCGTTTGCCAAAGACACTATACCATTTATTTCTATTTCATTTATTTATTTTTATTTAATCATTTCTATGGAATTGTTTATTTTAGGTTGCGGATTTAATTGCTGCTGCAACAGTATGACTCAGAGTTTGTGCAGCAAGCCTCACTCATTTTACTCGCTATTATCCATTTCGCCATTTTCGTCACATTTCCCTGTTCTAACTCAAACAATTCTCTTATTATATCAAATTTAATTTTGCCGTCAGCTGATTCAAAATCTGCCTTTATAAATATATTCTTATGGATTTCATTAAATGTGGTACATCATATAAAAGATAAATTTTTGCATTATTATGAATAAAGTACGGTCTTTCCACTTGATCATATGTCAATGCACGTCCTTTCAATCGCAATCTTCTGCACCATCTGCAGAAGCATCGCATTGTATGTAAAAATGTTGATTAAAATCGGGATTCGTCAGTACTGGTGCCGTAATGAGGCTAGTTTTTAACTTGTCAAAAGCAACTTTGGCCTGATCAGTTAAGGTGAATTCCTTTAAATTACCTTTGCTGAGACAGTCATGCAGGGATGCAGCGATCGTCGCGTAATCTTGTATAAAGCATCTGTACCATCCTGTCATGCCCAGAAATCGTCGAAGTTGTTTTGCTGTTCTGGGCTCTGGAAACATGTTTATGGCCTCAACCTTCACAGGATCCGTTTTAATAATGCCGTTGCCCACAATATATCCCAAATACTTTACTTCTATATGACAGAACTTACTTTTCTGTACATTTATTGTCAAGTTAGCTTTACTTAGGCAATCAGCAATTTTCTTTAATAATATCATATGAGCTTCGAAATCACTTGAGCATACCAATAGGTCATCAAGATAAACGAATACACGTTCACGTAGAGCTGCTGGAATAACCTTGTCCATCAGACGACACATTCTCTGAGCGGCATTACACAGCCCAAATGGCATAACCGTAAACTGGTACAGTGGCCTACCTGGTACCGTAAACGCTGTCTTCTCTCTTGATTCCCTCTCCAACGGAATTTGCCAAAAGGCATCCTTGAGATCTATCGCCGAAATATACTTGGTGTCCTGCAACCTACTTAGGATACCTTCAATGTGGGGCAAAGGATAGGCGTCTTTGATTGTGCGATCGTTGACCTTAAGTGCATCTAAACACAACCTATGTTTATTTTCCTTCACAACTAAGGTTACAGGCGAACTCCAGCTACTATTGCTTTCTTCAATAACTCCTAGGCTTAACATTCGATCTAATTCATCATACATAAGCTTTTGAATAGCAGGCGAAATCGGGTAGTGTCGTTGCTTCACCGGTAGCTATTCATTCGTTACCTCTATCTTATGACTTTCGACATTGGTACTTCCTAAGCCTAATTCACTAAAAGAAGGAAATTCCATAATAACTTGCTCTAATTTCTTTTGCTGGCTAGTATTCAATGGGTGTTGTTTGGTTAATTTTAAATCAGCAGAACAAGGTGTCAATTCGCCTATGTTGCCTAACGTTTCAGCTTCTCGGATTCGCTTGGTAATCAAAGGGATCTCAAATGTCTTCCAGAAGTCGATTCCAAAGTAGAATGGTTGCTGTAGTGTAGGTACTACTAAAAAATCCATAATTTCAGTTTGACCTTCCTAAAGGACTGGTAGTGATACTACTCCAATCACAGGTACCTCTCCCCCACTGGCAGTTTTTGTGACTTTACCTGTTAATTTCACTAGCTTACTTGGTTGCTTTCGTAGAAACTCCAATGCTCCCTTTCCTATACAGTTGGCCATTGCTCCTGAGTGTAATAAGGTCATCACTTCTTCCTGATTAACCTTAGTTTTGACATAAATTCTATTATCTCCACCTAATGTAACTATTGTACCTACAATTTTACTAAGACTTGTCTTAACCAAACGCCTTTTCTGCCTAAGCTTTAAAAGTTTTCTAAATTTCCTATTCCTTTTACATTGGTTTGATACGTCCACATTAAAAATTCTTTCTCGGTTCTCTTCACATTCCAGATTGTGTTGATGTAGTGGTTTAACTACCCTTGTTCTTTCGTTACTGCTTTTCTCTATTTGTATCTGTACTCCGGGTTCGGCTTCTGTGGACATCGATTCCCGGGCGTCCATGTCCTTGAACCGTTTCCCTCATTACCATCATATCTACAATAGGATGAGTTCTTGTTGCACAAAAAGCACGTCATATCATGAAAATGTGATTTACAAATGGTTTTTTGGTCAGAACCTTGCCTAACTGTATAAAAGTCTACGGGCATACCGCACGAATAGCACAAATTTAAGTGGAAAGGTGAGGGACAAAGAGCACCTCTATCTTGCCTACTTTTTCCCACATCGTTATTACCATCCTTCTCTACCCCACTTC